AGAGAATTTAAGGCTAAAGAACATGAGGGAAATTTCCAGTTATTATAAAAATAAGAGACAACTTGCCCTTGGATATTGGTAGGTACCACACATCTTCAAACAGCTGTAATTAACATTGCACCTTAAGATCCTCACTTCGGAAAATCATGTCTTTTAACCTTTTCAGTGACTTCTGACAGCCAAGCTTCTATACCTTTCCATCAGGTAACCTTGCATCTGTATTCAAGGGTGTGTAAATGTGTAGACATGTATATGTTCATATGCATGCATGCATCTGTATATATGCACCAGCATTCATGTGTCTATGTATACGTGTTTCAGCATGCATACATGCTTATGCAGATCATGTGTCAAAACTACAATGTAATTGTGTGATATTCCTATGCAATCTCTTCCATATTCTAATTTGTAGCTTTCCTGGCCTAGCTAAATTGTTGGAAATACTTTCAAGCCCTTATCAGAGAGGAAAGAGATGTTTACTGAAAGTCAGAAGTTGACCCCGGTAGTGATAAAAGACAACTCTGCTGATAAGAGCGTTGAACTGGTCTCAAATGGAGATTATGCTGAAGTTTTAAAATTCTTCAGAAACCAACATTTTTCTGAGAAATCAGAAAGCCTCTCATTCCATTTCAAGTATCTTGACTATCCAAACCTTTCCAACTATGGGGAAAAAAGTGGCAGAAGCTTGTTTTGTTTATGATAGCTGATAGGCACAGTGCTTTTCAAAAATATCCTAGACTAGAAGAAACCCATGGGGTGTAGGGGAGGTCCTCAGTTGAACCACAACTGAGAAGAATGGTTAGGGCAATTTTCTTGCTTGTTGTTAATAAGAATAAATTAAATACATACATTTCCCCTTACTTTTTTTCCCTCTTTAATATGCTCAATAGTATCTAGAGAAGGGAGCAAAGAAACCGGTTTGTTGGGCTTTCTGTTCTCTAAGAAGAATGTTCACAGCTACCAAGCACACTAAACATGTACTCAGGGGATGGAAGGGCTGGCTAATCTGAAGTACTGGTCCAAATTCTTTCTCTGAACTACTAGTTCTGCATGAAGTACTGGATCACTTCATTGTCTCTTCTCAGATTAATTAACCGAGGCATAACTGGGTATATGAGTTTCCAAACATCACACAATCAGCACATGAGGCACAAATGCAGCCAATCAACCTGTATGGCACAGGTTGGAGGGACATATACTTTTTGTCCCCACCAATATAAGGAAGGACATTCCTTTGTGACGATGCTCATGCTCACAGCATATGCCCTTCATCTTTGTTTATTTCAAATTCAGAGACGGGTTTTCATTATGCACCAAGGCTGGACATGAACTTGGTGGCTCCAGTGACTCTCCTGCCTTTGTCTGTCAAGTAACTAGGGCTACATTATGCACACCATCGCCCATTTTGTAAGGCCATTTGCCCTTCAGCACTGTGAGCTCATTATTTGTTAAGCTTTTATCAATCCTCACTGGGAAATCCTAAAGCAAGGTGTGCAAGAAATCAGTTTCACGTATGCCTGTAAAATATTCCCTGTGGGAAATGCCTTAGGTTATAGCAAGTCCAGCAAATTTAAGCAGGAACAAAGACTATACTCAACATGAAATCATTGCTGGGAATTTCTCTCAAGACATTAGAATTGTAAACCATAGGTCCAGTAATCCCAGCTGAGAATTATATTTTCTCTTATTACAAGAGGGATGATTTATATGTATTTTATTAATTGAGAGAATCTATTTTGTAATGATTAGGACTTCATATTATTTTTTAGGAATGAATTACAGTGTCCCCATATACATAACATGCTTTTTGTTTTCTGACAGAGTATATTGCAAGCTTTCTAAGTATTCTGCACTACCATGCTCAACTTAAATTATTGTGAGATGTGTCATTGTAATATAACTTCTTAGAGTCCTCCACACATATTATTTTTCACTAAGAAAACCTACATCAGTTCCTAAAACAGGATAAATGACACAAATTGTTGGACAAGTAGATGGTCTGAAGGACAAATGACCATACATAATCTGATCTAAGTTTTTCTTAAAGTTTTTGCTATATTTCCATTTAGATATTCTGTGCTTTAAGCTAAAAATGCATCAGAAAATATCTGGGGAGCAGTATTACACAACTGCAAAGTCACTTCTTTAGGATAGTTTTCAAGCAGTCACAGACGAGATAATACAGGTATCTGTGGCTCACTCATCATAATCACTCATTTAAAAATTATATAACAATCCACATGTATGTAGATATGTTAGGATGCACACACAATTTAATTAAGATGCAGCATAAGCCATTACAATGTTGAGGTAAAGCTCCTCAAATGGTTATGTAAAGCCACATGTTCAGTGGCATGTCACTAACATTCTGAAGGGAGTATAAAGACAGCTTTCGTTTGATCCAACATGGCATCTACAGTCCTTCACCTCATAAACTAAGAATTCAGACTACCTTTGGTTAACATTAGATGGTGATTAGACCTGGTTTTTTTCCTGTTGTTTCCCAGCTGCAGTGAGATGAACAGGTCTCCTCTAGCACATGTTCCATGCTTTTGGCTGCTAGGTGCAAAGCTAAAACCATCTGAGCATGGAATGAAACACTGAGCAAAAGTAAAGATTCCCTCTGTTTAAGTGGGCCATCTCAGGTCCTTTGTCACAGTGTCAAAAAGCTGAGTCTCAGGTGTGCCTTCCACAGGAAAACTCAAATGAAAGTAAGCAAAGAGGGCAGTGAAGACGGCCAGCTAATGCTCATATCTAGGGTTCCCAGCCAAGAGGCAAAAGCCAACTCCACCATGTAGGAGTGTGCTGACCCTTCATTCTGAGGCATCTTATGAGGCATCCCGTAACAAACGACAGATAAGTCTTGTCTGGTGGGAGTGTCACAAGCTCCCATTTACAGAATATTCTATGGAACTTACAGTGCTTCCCTATTCATTTTTATTTTATAGCATACCTTAAAATTTTTTCCTTTATGATGAGACAAAGGAAGCTTCTAGATTCTATACACAGCTTGCCTTGTAAGGAAAGAGTCTCAAATTAACTAATTCAATAATTGAAACAATTTTTAAAAATAAAACTTTTTAGACTTATCTGCTGCGTTTTACTTACCATATATTTTAATTCATATAGGCAGAAGAATCCTTCTTAATACCCATGGTCACCAAAGAAACACAGCCCAACTCTCCAGCTGGCATCATTCAGGAGTGCTCACAGTTTGCAACTATAGTTTAAAGGCTAAATGTTCAGAAAACTGGACATCCACCTCATCAAGCAAATTCCTGCTGGCAGGAACTGCTTGGAACCCTTTTCTTGGTGTTCTTATCCCAAAATTTTTAAAATATTCTAAGATGTGGAATGTTTTCTTCAACTTCTACCCTCCTACTTCCCCATATAGATTCTTGGTTGCATTTCTCTTTAAAAGATTAGTGTTTTGTAGATATCTGTTCCATGTTTACAATGGCCTTATGAGTCAAGTATGAGTAGGTAGGAAATTTACAATTTCAAACACAAATTCTATTTTATCCTGTATATCAGTGACTATGATTGCTAATCTCAATGGTCCCTTTATGGAATTTGGAATCAACATGGAAATAAACAACTGGGCATATTACTGAGGATGTTTCTAGATCAGGGTAACTGAGGAGGGAAGATCATCCTAAATTTAGGAGTCATTACATCATTATTGGGGTCCTGTAGAGAATACAATTGAGAGTGTGAACCAGGTCACAGCATCTATGCCTCTTGGCTTCCTGGCTGTTGATGCAGTGTGGTCAGTCGCTGCATACTCATGACACCACGACATGCCCATCCTGATGAACTGTCCCCTGGAAGTGTGAGCCAAATAGGCCTTTCTCTAATTTGCTCTTCCAGGTATTTTGTTTCAGCATCAAGAAAAGAAATTATACACTTACATGTTTGGCTTCCAATACTTAAGATTAAAGAAAATAATAATCTATTTAGCCAATGAACACAGTGTCCACACCCATGACACTGACTATCGAACCCCAATGTCTGGTTCATGAGGAGATGAAGTCAAGGGCAGGACCCAGCAACACACAGACCAAAGACTTTGGTGAGAAATAGATGCTGCTTCTATTAACAAGAAATGAGCTCAAAAGTAAAAGGAGAAAAAAGCACACGTTTTGGTTTGAGCAAAACAAAAGGGTAGCTGGAACTAAAGAAGACCTGACCTTCTACTACTGGAGCTTTCCAAACTAAAGAAGAAGAGGACAGAGCAACGGAGTCTCATGGAAATTGCAGAAAACAACAAGGAGCTAACTGGAGAAACACTAGCTAGACCTCCAGTGAGCAGCTTCGCTTAATTCAGACTGACTCTTGATTTAGACAAGTGAGTTTTCTTTTCTAATAAAAATCATGATGGCATCTTTTCAGATTTAAAAATGTCTCAGTTAGTATCAGCTATGGGAACTGAGGCCAACTATGAGTCTGCATTCCAGTCAGTTACCCTAGTTACTGGGAAAATGTATCCAAGGTCAGCTAATCCGTCTGTTTCCTAATTTTAAGGCTGGAGTAAAATTGAAGGCTTATTATGAAAACTGGTTTGAATAACCCGAATTAAAGGCATTGAAATGTTTCCTTCTGTTCTACATCAGTCTTCACCAAATCACAAAGAACTTTTTTAGTAACGTGGTACAGAGTCCCCAGGACAGGGAAATCATTAACCCAGCACAGCAAGCAGCCTGGGGATCAAATGAGCCTGCTCCTGGAGTTTGAACTTCCAGTTATTGGAGGAGGGAACTAGCGCCCCCTGCAGACATGTTTCTAAGCGACAGGTTTGCTGTGGGAAAGGAGAAATGGAACAGCTTTGGGATTCCGAGAGTGAGGGTTCCCATTAGCTTTGCTTTGGACACATTTTTTGGTGCTTTGGGGCGCATCACATAAATCTCTGTCCTGGGGAGTCAAAGCTTTAGGCAGCAGCGCTGCTGGGGAAAGGTGCGCCTGGTGCGAGGTCCCTCACTAGGAGCCCTGGAGCTGGGGACAGGTAGAGGAGGGCGGCCCCCCCCCGCCGGTGGCTCCACGGCCAGGTCCGGGCGACCCCGCGGCCCAGACAGCAGCAGCACAGCAGCAAGAGGGTCGCCCACCAAGGCTTCATCTCGGCGCCCGCCCGCTGTCCTCCAAGCACAGTCCGCTTTCTCTTTCGGTTCCTCGGCTCCACCCACCGCCCGAGTGGGGCGCAAGCCCAGAAGTAGGAAGCTGCCAGGGTCCCTGCTGTTTTGGCTGTTTGACTTTTAGGATCCTCATGGACCCTGTGTTGTTATTGAGCTTCGGGGGTTAGCTTCTTTTCTAGTATGAAAGAGGCCAAGGCATGATACATACATACATCGGAGTGAAAATACGAACTGTTGTGGGACTAAGCCCATTATTTTTCTACCAGTCATTTCAAATAGAGTATATGTTTGTAGAACATGTGTAAATTGAATTCTATGGGTTTTATGTAGATGAGTAATGTGTGCGAATTTATACTGTGCTTTCCTTCTATGGATGCTTGCAAAAACATGACAAAAATTGCACTGCTGCAGAAAGATTGCTTTGCACAAGTTTCTTTGTCTGTAATATTGTGGCCTTTCTGCACTTGCAGACAACTGCACCCGCTTTTGAAGTCTGTGATGAAATTTAATTAAAGTAATTCTTCTAAACACATCATTATATGCCGGGCACATTCTGTGTGCTTCTTTAATTACTTCGCTGTTAAGGTAGCTTATTTTTTTCTTGTTTTATTATGTTGCTTTCCTCTTGCTGAATTTATTTCATAACACATTCACTACACTTTCTTCTACATGCTTTCATTAACTGTTGTAATTAAAAAAAAAAAAATCTTGCTTCCTTTTCCCGCAGTGCGGGTGACCAGAGTGCAGAAGGGACAAAGGGAGAATGTTCAAATCAGTCACTACCCCAGTCTGGCTGCACACGTCAGATTGAGGGGTTTCTAGTGGAGTGTGGCAGGGCTCTCCTTTAAGGAGACTGGGTGAGTTGAAAATCTATGATCAAATATATCACACTTCTCTGGTGACGACAGGGAGAAGACAGCTGCTACTCAGAATGGCAGGAGCACATGGACAGGACATGCACATGCTGGTTTTAGAGAGAGTCCTTACTGTGTTTTTTTCTGTTTTCTCCCCATGCTGTTCACATGCCTCTCCCTTCCCCTTCTCTGCCCTTCTTTCTCTTGTCCCAAAAGCAGATGCTTGGTGGATGGCCAGGATGGACATGAGAAGGTTCTGTATTGCTTCTGCCTTTGCTTCTCTCCCTATATGTAGCTGAAAAGCCCTATGGTTCATTTTCTTCTCCCTCTTGCCTTTGATCAAATGTCCCCTCATCTTCAAGCTTACCCTGACTGCCCTGCTTAAAACAGAACCCCCTTTGAAATCCCTGGTCAGCACCCCACTCCTCTGAGGCTGTTACATTGCCTCTTAGCATCTGTGTCATTTGATCCATAGCACTTTTCTGTAATGCCAGCTGCAGGAGGGCAAAGATTTACTTTCTTAAGCACCAAAAACATTTACTGGGTATTCAATCAATACATATTTGTTGATAGGAACTTACTAAATTTAGTTCAAATAAATTTTCTTTTGACCACTGTGATTATCCTTAGGTTGACCACCTAAACATAAATGTCCAATCTGAAAGGATTGTCAGAAAGCATGAATGGTCACCAGAAAACTAACTTTAGTTTAATAGTATGGAAAGAAAGTGCATAGAGATGAGTAAACTACTAGGAGGGTCTGCTGGGAAAGAATTGCCGATCTTATCAATAAGCAGTCTGTGGGCTTGTTATCTCAATTGCATCTGTGTCACTAAACTTTCCCAGAGCAACATCATCTTGCCATGGAGTGTAAGAAAACCTCCCGGTCACTTCTTTAAATGCCCAGATCATACTTTTTACCACCAATTTTGCATCAGAGAACATAGTTACTCCCTGTACCTAATAAAAACTAAGATATAAATCAGACAGGGGTTCTGCAGATGTAAGAGAGCTCTGACATCTTTTGTAAAGACATCTGGAAACCTTATTTAAAATAGATTTTATTGGGACCCAGAGAACCAGGTTCATGGAGTGTAAGAGCGCTAATGTGGGTGCTAGAAGTAACTGTCACTTGAGTTAATGTTCATAATACTTCAGAAGCAAAGAGGTCACTATTTTCCTTTTACTATTACAACTTCTGTAGCCATACCAGTGACTCATAGAAAATAGTATGCTTTCTTGGCAACCGCACCTTAAACAAGGCTATAAACAGAGGCGAAATGTTCAGAAAAGCAGACAAAATTTCTCTGAGATGATTGATAACCCTGCTGTATCAGCCAGCTTCCTATTACTATAACAAAATACATGACACAACCAATATATAAAGAAAAATGGCCTATTTGGGCTCTTATTTATGAAGGTTTCAGTCTAAGATCGGGCAGTCAGCTTCATTCCTTTGGACATTTGTCATAGATAAAAGATCAAGGCAGATGTGGTAACAAGCAAATGCATGGAAGCAGAGAGCAACTTCAAGGGCACGCTCATGATGACCCAAAGAATGTTCACTAGGGTGTTCATTGTCTTTCAGCAACATCACACACAGGCCAAGGCTTTAACAAGGGAGTCTCTAGGTGACTTCTTTATCCAGACTACAGCAATAGGTCTGGTTCTACCTTGCTTAGAGGGACTGGAAGAGGGATACTGAAGACCACTCAGTGGTCTTGTGACCATCAGTACAGCATTGCATTCAACAGCATATAAAAATTGCAGTATAACACTTGGAAGTTCCTTCAATCTTGTATTAGTTATCTATACTGAATATAAAAATAATCTCCAAATGTAGGAACTCATGATGCTATATATATCTTGTGTACTCATTTCTGTTGACTGAGTACCAGGTGCAGATGGGGCTGTGGTGGCTGAGGGTAACTGCTGAGGTTTCAGGCACTGAGGACATATAGTTACAATCATTTGAAGTTCATAGGTCTTGGTTCCGATTTGCAATCTGTAGGCAAGACTTCTCAGTTGTCCTCAGGTTTGGGAAAAGACCTCAAAGAGGTAACATCCCCACTTCTCCCCCAGGGTTGTGTGGTCATAACAACTGTTTTCCTCTAAGAGTGAATGAGTGCAGATACAGATGATAGGCAAGGGAGTGAGAATATGAGGCCTAAGTAACTCCATGCAGAGCATGTCATCTCTTTTGTGTATCACAGAGGCTAATCCTGAAACAACAATGCAGCAGGGAGACCACAAACATGGGAGCCACCATCTACTACCATCTTGCAAGCCAATTACTCTGTTTCTGTTATGCTTGCCTTTTGTAGTTCTCTCTCTCTCTCTCTCTCTCTCTCTCTCTCTCTCTCTCATGTGTGTGTGTGTGGGGGGTGTTTAATGTTTTTAGGACATTAGTCATTTTGTTAATGCTTTCTCAATCTTTATTATATTCACATTCTTATTTGCTGTGTTTTTACTCTCTGGAATCTTCTACATTTTCTTCAGTTATTAATTTAATCATTTTATTTCAGTCTTAAGTGCCTTTTCTGTGATGTTGTTTGGCCTGGTTTTGCTCTTACTTAATAAGCACCAGTATTTATAATGATTAACCAGTCACCAGGCCTTAGAAACATTTTACAAATTCTAACTTTTCTCATCATAATAAGTTCTTACTGTTGTTAACATTAGCATTTCCATTTGAAGATGAGAAATGTAAGCCTGAGAAGTTAGGCAACTTGCTTAAGGTTATGTGTCTAGTCACTAGTGTCTGAGATTGGAATCTGTAGATGTGATACTAATCTTTGGCATACCACAAATCAGTTCCTCCTTGTCACTTTTCATACCTCATAAAGTTCCACAACTTTCCAAGGGCCACATGCAAATAATGACCACAGAAATCACATGACATGTTATGGACAACTAAACAAAACTAAAGATGGTGAGATAGTTTGAATCTGAGTCTGATACAGGGTAAATGTGGAGGCATTGTTGGAAGGATTGTTAATTTAAAAACATATTGGGGGATGGAGAGATGGCTCAGAGGTTAAGAACACAGGCTGTTCTTCCCAGAGGACCTGAGTTCAATTCCCAACAACCACATGGTGGCTCACAACCATCTATGATGAGATCAGGTATCCTCTTCTGGCCTGCAGGCAGAACACTATATAGTAAATAAATAGATAAATAAATCTTTTAAAAAATAGCCGGGTGTTGGTGGCAGAAGCCGGGGGATCTCTGTGAGTTCAAGGCCAGCCTGGTCTCTAGAGCGAGTGCCAGGATAGTATCCAAAGTTTCACAGAGAAACGCTGTCTTGAAAAACCAATAAATACATAAATAAAATAAAAACATAATGGTTCTTTATTTGATGTTTCCATGATCTCAGGGATGTTGGGTTTCTTCACAGTCTTGGCACCTCAGAAGCTGCCATAAGGAGACTACTGGTAAGAAAGTAATTTGTCCATCACCAGATCTTTCCATCAGCCTCTAAAGTGGTAGCTATCAGCCTCACTTTTCACAGGAGGAAACTCCTTACAATGTTGGGGAGTGGTTTCAATATCCTGCTCACCTTCTGAGCCTTTCCTGAGCTGTTGTCCTCAGAGCCCACTCCTGCCTTTCAGCTGCACCAGGGTGCTTTGGGGAATCCCCAGTGCGTACTTTGCTTCTGTCAGGACTTGTGACACTTTGTGTCATGGTTTCTCTATCTACCACACCTGTGTAGAGTGCCATCGGTTTTCTGTGCTTGCACATAACTTAGAGAAGAGGCTGACATTTGAAAACACGTGTGAGTAATTGGACCCTCCATGTGTTGAATTGTTTTCTTCCTGTTTAATTTGTCACCTATATTATGGGGAGGGCAATGTTTCTCTAGGGAATTAATTACCTGGAGTCTGTGTGAAATATTTTCTTTTATCTGTTTTTCTTGCTAATCTATTACTTTACAGGCCCTGTCTCCTGGTGTAGCCTAATGCTGCCGTGGAATTCACTGTGTAGTCCAAGCTGGTTTTGAACTCATGTTCTTCAATTTTTGTAGTTTTTTTTTTTTTTCCTGCCACCCAGTTCCCTAATAAATACATGGAATTTTATTCTTACTTATGAATGCCTGGCCTTAGCTTGGCTTGTTTCTAGCTAGCTTTTTGAACTGAAAGTATCCTGTTTCTCTGCAACTACGTTTTGCCTCTGGACTTTTCAG